GGGGGGGGGGAGTCCTCTCACTCGCTACTTTTGCAAGCAACCCTCTCAATTCAGACCAAGGCCAGCAATTTTGTCCTTTTGTGCTTTTCCTCCGCTTTGATGGAGGCCAGTACCAGACACTGCTCTGCCCCAGGTTCTTTCACTACGTTGTCAGAAGCTTGCCCTTTCTTTGTCAGAGATGAAATTATGTGTGTTAATAAAAGAAAATAGAATTTGTCTGGTCTGGAGGAGCCAGTTTGTCACCAAGACTTTGCTATCAGTCAGTAAATAAAAATAGAAACCTTTATGCAAACCAGCAGGATTTTAGCCAGTGTGAAAATAACTGAGCTACCGTCCTCTTTCAAAAACTATTTTTGCATTCAGTCACCCCAGACAGCAGGAAAAACAATTGTTCCTTAAAACGTTATAAAAGTCTGTGCAGACACCGTTGGTACCCAGAGATTTCACAGCATGCAGACTTTTAATTGCCTCTCCACAGATGAAGGCATCTGGAATGTTTCTCTCTAGTGCACCTTACTGGGGAATATATTAGTTTGTAAAATAGAGCAGGATTACAAAGAAAATTGCTGAATACATACGATGTCTTGACATAACCTTTTACAAGTAGCCTTACTGTATGCATACTCCACTCTATCTTAGCACGTGTTTATTATTTTGCAATATAGGTCGTATTCAGAGCTTTGAAGAACTACATAGCTGACCTATAACGGTTTCCTCAATGAGATCATTGATCTGCAAGCTCCAGCATTATATTCCTTTTTCCTCTTTTTGATTTCAAGTTATATCCTTTTCTCAAACACAGCGCAATCATTTCTGGAACAAACTGAAGTCACTCTGCACATAGCCTTAATACTAATTAAATTACAGTATCTCATATAGACCTCTTTATTTGCAGAAGACTATAAACAAAGTCTGCATTTGCTGGGACAAGGATATTCTCATTGACAAACATAATAAACTTCTGTTCTTTAATCTCCACAGCATATCAGGAACGTCACATTCCATCCATCCATCCATCACTTCAACCTAAAAGTCTTTTTAGGATGTGTTTTTCATAGGATGAAACTCCTCTCAGATCAGGTGTCTTTTTTTTCTCTACCATGTAATATTTTTACTCTGTCCAACCATAACTTTTGTGGCACTATCAAACTGAATGAAATCTGTTTATCTTTGCAAACAATTTTTCCAAGTGTGCCAGAACACGTCTGGACAATATGAAGATACTGAAAGTATCTCCAACCCACCCCATGACAGAAGAGCAGCATGTTTCTGGTCAGCAGCTTGGGATAACTAAAAACATGGTAAGCAAGGGGCTAGGAAATAGGGGCAACAAAAGCTGTTGCAGCAGGAAGAGGTGGAAATGAAAATGAGACAAAACAGCAGGGTCTGTAAAGACAAGCTATCTGAACAAGGTTAGGCTTCTGAAAGGTAATTAATTAGCAACTACCATTAAAAGTTCTTTCTGTTCCTGTGACCTGTCTCCTACAGTCAGCTCCCAAATACGTATGAGTAGGGGCTTGAAGAGAGCAGGTCTGGAAGGTGGGAATAGCTGCTCCGGAGCTGGGATACTTTGTCATGAAGGGTGTATCCATGGAGAAGTGAGTAATACTTTTAAACATCATCATGATGCCGCATGCGATGTGAAGTGAGTAATAGCAGAAAGTATGCATCTACTGAGTTATTTCTTTACCTTCCCCCAACACACACGTTGAAAATGCATAATCCAGTTGGGCTTATGTCAAACGCCAAACAGGACATGAATCTCTGGGAAGCAGTCCAAGTCAGAGCATTCAGTTGAGGCTGAAAAAGCAAAGCCTCCATTCCCAAATCTGTCCCTGATTTGGGGCAGATTACTATCGAGTGTCACTGTCTATCAAGGGGGATAAAGATATTAACATTCTCTGTAAGGTACTTTGTGATCTGTTGATTGGAAGCACTTGTTTATATATCCTATGTAAATATATATGTATATACTTGGCATTTGTAAACACTTTTTAAAATAAAAACAGCATAGCATAAACCCAAATCTTGTTTCACTTAAATTGCTGCTGTATAGGTAGTTTTCTTCAGATGTTCCCAAAGAAAACCCATATATTCACATGCACAACGTGAATGCATATGGCAGAGTGCCACTGAAGGCCTCAATGAACACTTCATTAAAAAACAAACAAACAAAAAACTGAAAGTACATTCCAAATTGAACAAGCAACACTTGTTGCAAATCGTTTAAACTACTAAGTGGAGCCACAAAACTCGCAATTCGACTGAAGGATTAGACAGCATTTGATCAGGAAGTTGTGGTGTTTACACAGTGAATACAAACCACTTACAGGCTTGCGGGCTTCAGTGGAATTTGGGCATCTGTATGTTTCCCCTTGGCCACAGGTTTTTTAACTGAATCAGCTTCAATCTAAAGCAAGAACACTTTAGCCTTCAGAGAAAAGTCCCTAAAGGGAATAGGATTTTAAACAAATATCCTTCTCATGGAGTCATATCTAATGTTGCATGTCACTAAAAGACAGTTAGAATTCCCTGAGTTTCAAGAACAGAAACAGGTTACACTTTTCTAGCAAGTCCAGTGACTCCCGAGTGCACAAGATTTCAAAAGCGTGTCCACATGGTCAATTGCTTTTTGGCAGGGCAAATTAACCCTTGCTGAGCCAGTACTGCAGCAGTTACACTGCTTCCAGCTATACCTGAGCTCCTGCAGTTAAAGATAACCCTACTGTGATCAGGTATCACATTCCTTGTGACTGACAGCATGGACTGGGTTTTCTTTTTTTCAGCTTGCTTCAGTGGACCTTGCAACAGTAAACCATGACCATTATAACCACTTGGTTTGAATCATCTCACAACCCTTTACCATGAGCCAGGCTAACAAAGATGCTCCTCTCTTTCCACAGGTGGGTGGTCTCTACTAAAAAGGCAGCTCCTCTTTTGCCCCATGCCCCCCTGGGATGAAGTATCTATTCCCTTCATGCTAGCAACAGTTCTTGAGGACGGACCAATATTTAATGAAAAGTACCTTGGGTTCATCAATTACAGCAAGTAATCCCACTTACTCGTGGACAGCAAGCAGCAGAAATCTCCAGCAGGATTTCTGTTATTGAACAACAGCATAAGCATATGAAGAATCACTGCTAGTTTTTTTGTTTTCAAACATCTGACAGAATATGATTCAGCCCTGAATACCAACTATATTAAAAAAAAAATTGCATCACAGGAGTCTATTATGCTGATTTTCAACTCAAAGTGTTCTTACTGTATAAGGAAAAAGAGGCTTTAAAAAAAAAATTAAAGCTTGCAGAATACGAAAAGTATTTTGTCTCTGGAACTGAGACACATGCCCGATCAGAATGGGTCTCTAAGTTGTATCAACCTGTTAATAACCATGTAACAACAAAAAGAGAATACTACAAATAATAATTTTATCTAATTCTGAATACAGATAGGGAGATTTGAAAGCATTTAGGAAAGAAATTTGCTATTTTTTTTACTACGTTCAACTAAATCAACTATATGAAGTGGTTTAAAGAAAAAAATGTAAGTTACAGATCTGTCATGGACTAAGATGGAAATATTTTTTTAAAAGTGTTCCCATATACCACGTATCAATGGAAAACCTCAAGCTCATTACAAGAGCTCTCACTGGAGCATGAGAACCTATGCGTATGAAGTTCAAAGAATAACACCTATGAAGATTTAACTTTAAAATGCTCCATGACCAGTCTATTTGGTATCACACTTTGAAAAATGTTTAAAATTAAGTGTTAAATTGTTCAGCCTCTTACTTTGTTTTACAGTCTCTACCTAACACTTCCGCCTTCCTGATTTAGGCTGGCCACTGCAGGAAGCTGTGTGTCTGCCTCTAAAGATAATAAATGAGAACACCCAACGTGGTTAGAAATCCTTCAGGGCCAAGTCCGTATATGCTATAAAACACGAGTAGTGGTAAGCAGAGAGAAGTCATCCCACATAACTTCATAAGCCCTCAAGTGAGGTGTGAGCAAAACCGAAGCTCCCATCACAGTCAGGTGGAATCACGATCAATCCCACCTCCAGAGAGAGACTGATACGACTTTTCTCAAATGCCTTTTCTTGAACATGATCTCTGTCTACAGGTGCCTGTTTTCCTCCAACACAGACAAATCCTATTCCAAGAGTAACATTTTCCCATTTATGATGTTCAAATTAAGCATACTTACAAATATTACCAGCTTTGAATGATGTAGCAAGCAACAGGCTTGCTACAATCAAAATGCAAAGATTTGACACCGTTACTTTCAATGCCGCTGCTAAACAAGATATCCAAGTTTGTACTAAAATTTACTAATTTACTGTAGTGGTTACTGCAGCATATCTATAGTCTAGTCTTGCACAAATAGACAGAAAAAATGCAGATCGTTCCACCCCACAAGATCTTGTGAAACTACTTTTGAACCGCTACAAAATGGAAGTGTTTTATTAGCCCCACTTCTTCTAACATCATACTTTTGTAAAATCAAACTACAACACTGAACTACTTTTCACACAAATCCCATAAGCTAAAGCTATGAATGACCAAATAACATATAGCTCCCTTTTCTGCAAGCCTGAACCTTGCCACCATGTTTTATTAACAGCTAACATGCAAGTAAGTTGTGTCACCTGCATACATCTGTTTTTTACAGCTAGATATTGAATGAAACTTCAGATGAAAATCAATTGAGTAAGACAACAATCAAGGACTACTCTGGGGCAACTGAAATTAAAGACAGATTTATAAAGCAGTAAGGGGCAAAGAACAAAAAAAACCCCATTCCCAGTTTAAAAAAGGCATAGAACAGTCATCCGAGAAGCAGCCACAGTGCCTGACTCTCCCGCCCACAGTAACACAACAGCGACTGACAATGCAATCGGTGCTCAAACTAAACCAAAGGCTAATCTGTCCTTCCCCCAACAGAGAAAAAAGAGAAGATATTTATATCCATATTTAAAAAACACACACATACATTAAAAACAAAGCTAAATGAGCACTCTGATTTTAGGAAAGCTTGTCTATCCATCTGTTTAAAAAAAAAAAACCAACACACAAACAAATCAATATTAAAGCATCTATTGATACTTTTTCACTCATTACTGAAAAGGAAGAAAAAACCCTTATAAAAAAATTAACTGTTTTATCTACTTTTTACATAAAAACCCAAGAGCCCAGGATCTACTCAAAGTTAAGGATAATTTCAGCAACTGCTATAGGCTACATCTCCAAATTAAGGATAATTTCAGCAACTGCCATGAGCTGCATCTTCTAACTCAAATTTCTCCTAATAAGCAAAATCATCTAAGGAGTAATAGATATTGATCTTCTGTGCAGGACACATATCCACGATGAATTAACTGTAGACATTTGATCCTTTTGCTAACAATCTTCTGAATGTTCTTGTTCCAGAATTAAGAGACCTTGTTCCAATTTAGCTTAATCCACTTAATGCATTTGGAGTGAGACATACTTGTACCGCAAGAGCTAGATGGAATTGAGATACTTAATTCTGAAATTGCAATCCAAGACCCAGTCATCTGGGTTTAGATTATAGCTTGCTTCATTGTTTGAATGGACAATTCTTCAGGTGTCTGAAGATGCCTAGTCTGAAGACTTCCTAGTCTGAGGAAACAAATCTCTTGCATTTACCAAGTTAAAAGCCAAAAAATTGCCATCCCTCTGCCTAAATTCTCCAAGGTCAATCTGACATACACACAGTGTGTATCTATTACACTGACAGGACTTATGGCTCTTTATAAAACCCAAGTAGTTCACTGATTACTGTTCATAGGAGAGTTACCAAGGTAGGAAACAACGGCAAAGCATCCTGCGTGAGCCTGGCAGTACACTTACCTAGCAAACGGGAGGCTGATTCCACAGCCTCCTGCTGGAACTGGCCACTGTGTAGCTGAGCATGCCAGTTTGTGTGGCCAGAAAGTAGTAAAAGGCAGAAAGAGGAAGCAAAACATAGAT